CATTTGCATTTAAAGTTAAAAAATTTTCCTTTGTGAAATGTCAAATTTTTGTTTATGATTAATTTTATATTCAATATGTCGCTTTTTTATTGTGATCTCTGATCTATAAGGTTTTGATGAAGTTTTGGTATCCGAAATAATTTGGTAAGCTAATCAAATAAATATAAATTGTAAATCTATTTATATAATTATATTCATAAATATTGACAAATGACATTTGACGTTTTTCATGTCAACATTTATTTAAATTTATAAATATTGATTTTTAATTACATTTAAAACTATAAATTGTGATTTTGAATATAGTATTTCATCAAATTCGGATGTAAATGTTGGACATATCTATATATGTATATGTTTTTTAATTATATTTTTTGAACTGTCATTTTTTTTCAAAAATCTTTTTTTCTAGAATTTTCCATAAATTTTGACATCTGACATTTCAGTGTTTTGTTTTCTTTAGTCATTTTCTGTCAAAATTTTCAGAAATTTATAAAAATTATATATTTATATTTCAAATTTACTTTTCAAAATTTCCTATAACCCAAGTTGGATATATATGCACACGATGAGCCAATAAAATTCAAAATGACCTCGTAGACAACTTTGTAGACTTTATTATTTTTCTATCTATTTTTTTATCTAGGTGACAGAAGAAACCTGCGACATCCTCCAACACTTTGGCTACACCTTCGAACAAAGAGGTTTGGTGGCTGTCAAGGGCAAAGGGCAACTTATGACCTATTATTTGCAGGGCAAAACCACAAAACCGCCAGCATCGCCACTTATAGGCCTGACAACTATGGAAACATTGCAGGTGAGTAATAATTTTGCCTATTGGCAAGTAATAATAATGTACAAGAGCCTGAAATAATATCTATTATTATTATTGACTACGGCTTGCTTATGAATAAATAATTAAATAAATAAATACGAATACAAATCAATGAACATTTTAATTTGTTGGGGTATGTGAAAAGTTTTTTTTTTTTTATTTTATTTTCATTCTGCAATCTATAAAAATAATTATATTTAGCAGAGAATGCTGACAAGTATTGGGTATGTGAAAAGTGTGCGCGTAGTTTTAGTAAAATCGATTAAAATATGTAAAATTGTAAATAGTGGTTTGAAAGTATTTTTTAAATTTAAAATATAGTTTGTAGTTGATATTAAAAATATATTACAAAATATTTTAAAAGTAACTTTTTGAAGAAAATTACACAAAATGACAAATTAGACAAAAACCAAAAAATGTCCAGAATTTTCTATTTATTGCTAGGAATCGACTACAAAGTCGTTTTATTCCAAATTTTTATATCGGGGTGTATATAATTGTTGGCATGGAATCGTAGTAAATTGTATCTAGTTTTTCCCTATCTAAGTGAAAAAGAGTGCTTTCATGTGATATTTGTGAGTTATCTGGCAAAAACCAAAAAAATGTCCCGAGTTTTCTATTGAATTTTGAAGAAAATGAAAGATCGAATTCAAAGTCGTTTTATTCCAAATTTTTATATCGGGGTTAGTATATATATATATATATATATATATATATATTAATTTTGGAAATATGAACTATAGTAATAATATAAATAAGAATATATATATATATATATACATATATATATATATATATATATATAAATATATATATTCTTATTTATATTATTACTATAGTAATAAGTATATTAGCAAAATTTGTTTAGAATTTAACAGTCTATAATTTCTACTAAAAATTATTTTTGGTTTTAGTAAAATCGATTTCAATATGTAAAATTGTAAATAATAGTTTGGAATTATTTTTCACATTTGAAATCTAGTTTCTATTTGATATTAAAATTATATATAAAATTATTACGTAAGTAATTTTATCAAAAACGTTGAAGATATCAAAACGAGTCGTATTCATAATGTTTTTATTGTTGGAAATTACTTTGGTTTTTGGGCTGTTGTAGTGATGTAAATATAAAATATAAACGAAAAGTGTATTTTCAAATGTCCCAAAGTTTCTATTAAATCCTGAGGAATATGAAAGATCGAATTCAAAGTCGTTTTATTCCAAATTTTTATATCGGGGTGTATATAACTGTTGGCATGGAATCGTATTTGTTCAAAATTTAACTTGGTATAATATGTGCTAATATAATGTTTTGGTTGCTATTTAATTTTTTTAGATTTGGCCAAAATGGCATAAAATTGTACCTAAAGTTCTCATCATATTTTCTTAAACACAGAAATAAAATATTAAAACAGTTGTATATAAAAATAAATACAGTATTGTTATTTTTATCATTGTTATAACATTTTTATAAATTCAATTATATTTTAAATATAATATTCAAAATATATTTAAAAATATTGAAGTAATATATTAATATCTGTTACAGTTAATTAAATATCTGAAGTAATTGTTAATATCTGTTACAGTTTTTTAGTTATTTTTAAAATAACAAAATTTTGTACCGCACGACATTGATAATAATTAAAATAAGTAAAGAAATTGTTAAGAAAACACGTAGTAAAGAAAAATTTTTTAAATATATAAATTTATAGTTTTTGTTGACTTTTGTAATTTATTTAGTTAAAATACAGTTTGAATTTACTATTAAAAATATAATAAAAAAATATAAAAAATCGAGAAAAAGTGTAAAAAATTTTATAGTTTATATTTATTAAAAAGTTTTAATTATTCGAAAATAATTTCGGTTTTGATAAATTTTCCAGCCCTAAATGTTTTAGACATACCATAAGTTATTGAGCAGAATTTGTTCAGAATTTAATCATCTATAATTTGTGTTTCAATAGCTACTGTAGTTTTTAAGATATTTT